GTGCCAACCCCTGGTCACATTTTCTTTTTCAGTAATACATGACACCAACCCCTACTTACATTTCCTTACCAGTATAGGGTACGCCAATCCCTGGCTTTGTTTTCCAACATTAGGTACATCAATCCTTAGTTGAGACACCATTTAGACAATCAGGGTACACCATTCCCAAAGAATTATATTTTCCTAGGGTACACCAATCCTGACACTATAGTGCTTTTAATAAAGAAATAGTTTAGATTTTTGTTGCGAATAACTCACGAAATTTTCCTAGTGAAAACTGGGGCAGAAAATTTCGTTCATTTGTTTGTTTTGGTGCCTAAACAGGTTTTTACCTTGAGTAACAAGTTTCGAGGCGACCAAAAGAAGAAGTCTCGATTCAAATGAAAGAAAAGAAAACCAAGGAAAAGAAGTGAATCCAAAGTGCAGAAGCGGAGAAAAGATGTGGATTGCTCAAGACATAGTGGAAGCCACAAGCTCTGCATGTCCCGTCTTGATCCGAAAAGCCGAAGAAGAATGAACCAGCAGTTGCAGCTAACGAGCATCAAGATTCAGATCAGAGTCTGCAGGAAGAACCATCCAAGACTCAAGATCAAGCTTCAGAAGACTCATAGATAGGAATCTTGTAACTCATAGCTGATAGGCTTGTTTAGTTCCTTTTTTTTTAATCTAATAACAGGGCCATGAACCGGAGCCTCGACGGAACCTCGCTCAACTCTCAAGATCATCATTCCATCATTTTTCCTAAACTACACGCGACTTGATTCCCTTATAGCTTGAGATATGTAGGTTGTCTAAAATCAGGACTCGGTTGCACTCTCTTGTCTCTCTCCTTTTGAAAAATGGTATGGCCAAAAGTTAGTCATATTGCTCATTTTTTCTTTGCTTGAAAACTCGTCATGCTTCCAAGCAAAGAGGGGTATGCTGTGAACACCTAATTTTTTACCATGTTTGAATTCTTTTCCCACTTATCTCACAAATATCTCACTTCTCACCCATCTTCCCCTTCCCATTTCACACGCGCATTCCCATACCCATATTCCTGTGTCCCCCACGCCTGTCCCCCATCCCACTCTCCTTTGTCCCTACCCTACTCCTCTTTGCTCCCCACTCTTTGTTCCCCATTTGTTCCCCATTCTTTGTCCCCCATTTGTTCCCCACACCTTGTCCCCACTTATCCACCACTCACAACCCATATCCCCTCCATAAAACACACACACACGGATGGATACAGAAGAAAAAAAGGAAGCCAAGAAAGCAGCCACAACATTTTCCCCTTTTCACTCATCTTCCTCCTCTAAAAAACCCATTAAAAGCAATGCAATTCTCCAGCAAAAGGGCGACGAAACATCACTATTTTCTAGATTAAAACTAGCAACTCTTTCTCCTGTAATCAGCTGCAAAATCCAGCCAAATAAAGCTCCAGCAACCCACTGAAAAGCAGCCCCAATAGCCACAGTAAAATCACCTCCGAAAGCTTTCCAAACACAACAGAAAATGCAGCAGCAGATCTGAAAAATGCAGCAGCTATGGCTTCTCCGTCCCACTCTTAAAATCAGTTATGAAGCTATGTAAATGCATTTCCACTAGTTCACTGCCTTGCCGGCGTTTTGCCGGAGTTTCACCATCTCCGACCAGCTCTTTTTCACTATAAAACGCAGCAGCTCCACCTTTGTTAGCTCATGTTTCTTTCTTAAGTTGAGCTCAGTCCGTCAAGTTCGTCGAGGTCCCCGCTTCAAGATTTTTCGTCAGTGGTCTTTTGTTGATGCCTCGGGTAGTGTTGGAGTTATATCAGCACTATCTTCTATGATGTATTCATGGAGATTCAATATATAATCAAATTTCGAAGTTTTGTCCTTTAAAGGTCAGACTCTTTTTTGTTAGCATTTTGATAATACTACTGCATCAATGTGATCTTCTCTCAGCTAAATTTTTGGTTGTTATTGATTTTGTATCTTTGTGTTTGTTTAACATAAAATAATTTTATTATCTTTGGTTAGTTGGAAACGTGAGTTTAAGTTTAAGGCCTTTTGATTTATTTGAAGATTGTTGAAAAGTGCATGGTTTCCCTTTGAATTTAAAACTCAATGTTAAAAAAAAAAAAACAACGAAAGCTATGAAAATTGTTTAGCTAAAGTTGAAAAGTCCTGTTATTTGTTTAGATATATCATTGTTTTTTCTTTTAACTTGTCTAATAATGTGATGTACGTAATTGTCAAAATTAGTGCCTTTATTTATTAGATTAGCAGTTAACTTTTAAGGTGTGCCAATGGAAACTACATAGTGTAAATGACTTTTATAATTGCAAATAAGCTAAAGTCATACACGTATCCCACAATAATCTTCCATAAACCATGACTTCTACACTAATCACTATTTTAGAAAATAATTCTTATAAACACTAGAAGTTTGATTTTAGGCACATTAATAATAAAACATTATGACTATGGGTATGTTTCTCATGGCATGATCGCGATACATAATTCCAAATTCGAGTACACGTACGCTCGACTCTTTTTCAAGATAATTCCATAGTTGTGAATAATCAAGCAAGTAAAAAGCGGTAAAAGGGTAAAAATGTACATAGGTTCTAAGATGAGCAATTAAAGAATTAATATAAGCCAAATATAGTTAATAAAGCGACCGTGCTAGAACCACGGGACTCGGAGAATGTCTTACACCTTCTCCCCGATCAACAGAATTACTTACCCGGACTTTGTTTTCGCAGACCAATAATAATAGAGTCAAAACTTCCTTTGAATAGGGATTCAAATAAAAGGTGACTTGGAACACCAACAAAAATCAATTCCAAGTGGCGACTCTGTAAATAAAATAATTCCTATTTCAAATTTGTCACTTTAATTGGAAAAACTCTTTAACCCACAATCCATAACACACATTTATCTTTTGGAGGGGTAAAAAAGGGTGTGACACACACCACAATCTTGCCTTTAATATTAGTGCTTTCCAGCAACTAATTGGTAAATATTGGGCAGTGTCTTGATCGTACAAGGGAAGTCTTCATGTTGGATAAGTGACTCGCTATCATATGCTTTTACTTTCCATTTCCTAGCATAGTTGTTGTTACTGTCTTTCTATCATAGGTGCTAGTGCCAACTGTGAGAATCAAAGGTGCCTCGTTAGGCAATGTAGCATTGTCTAGACCATGGTGCTCAATAGAGGTGATCAGGAGAATATAAGTGCATCAATAGTAATACTATTATCATAAAAAGTTAGAAAAGGTTCACAAATGAAGAGAGAGAGCACGTCCACACCATTATCTATTACAGCATTTGTTGTGACCAATATGGCATTGTCCGGACAACTAAAGTTTGAACATACCTTATACATGGCAATGTGGGCAAGAGGGCCCAAGCCAACTGCTATGCCATTGACATTTTCAAACACATTTGCATCATCAACAAATTAATTACCGGCAGCCATGCTTGAAGTATTCATGCCATGGCCTTCCTCATCAAATGGATTGGAAGAGTCACTCCAGCTAGCATTACTATAACAAAAAATGAAACCTCCAATAATTTTGTTGGCAGAAGACTAAATATTAAGTGCACTCCCAAATGAATGCTTAACTCAAGAACATCACTTAGACTACCCTGCCATAGTAACTGTCAAAAGGTTTTTCCAAGTTTCGGACAAGTTTTTCTAGCTAAGACCAGGTGTTAGAGTTGACAAATGAGTGGCTATGGGCGGAGTCCAACAATATCAACCAAAACTAGCAATGTACTTGGGCTTAGCTTCAGAGGTTCAGTCACCCAAAATAGAAATTTGAGTAATATAATGTACTCTCCATATGATCCATGATCCAATTGCAAAATGGAAACATATCAACATCGAAAATCTATTAATCCAAGCCTTAATTAACATTTTGCACCAAAAATAACTCTAAAAACTCCAACGACTAAGGAAGTTTTGCTTGAATGAGTTGTAATTAACTTGTATAAGTTTGCCCATGTTAACATTATGTATACAAAGTTTCGATAAATTAAGTGGTACTAGTTTCTTACATCTTTGTAAGATCAAGAGATTTGATCTTCGTTTTTAGATAATGTATCAAGATTCCAACTTTAAATTAAAAGAACAAAGTCCATCAAGAGAATTTGTATATGATTGTCTATCCAAAAGTTGGGTTCTTTTAATAGAACTAAATTCGGAACATACATCGATAGAGCAGATACACTTATACGAGAGTATATATTACCCTAGTTAAGTAGATCAATTTTCTACCATATCACCTTTTTTTTTTGGGTTTCTCACTCGGTGTCTGCTACCCGCTTTGGGCAGGGGCGGATTCAACACATTAACTACGGGTTCCCGTGAACCCAGTAGTTTTTGTCAAGATCCTGTATGTATGTTAAAAAATCCATTAAATATATAAGAATATATCCCTTGGAACCAAATCCGTTAATCCAGTTATTATTATATGTTAACTTGAGATTTCTTTGGAACCTATAAACTTAAAATTCTGGATCCGCATCTGGCTTTTGGGCCGAACTAAATTCGAATTCGCGCCAGGAAGTGACACATTAAAGGTAGAGCGCTCCCTAACAAAGGCGACTCTATACTTACGGCTCGAACACAAAACCTCTGGTCACACTTATGCATTTTTTATATGTGAGTAAAACAAATACTATAGCAAATGAAAAAGGAAAACCAACTACTAATGTACTTCAGTTTCTAACAAAGCAAGATAATAGAGGGGGAAAAGGGAGAAAATTGGGGGTGGGGGTGGGGAGGTTGAACAATTCTCCAAATCCAAAGAAGTATTTCTTCGTTAAAAACAACATTAAATTACAACCATTCATTAATGAACGTTGATTAATTCTGGATCCAAATAGAGAGGGGGCATAGTTAGTTAGAAACTACAAACTAGGAACAAAAAACTGACTTTAAAACAGACCATGAAAATCCAGGAATTGCTCTAAGCCTTAAACATATCCCAACATGATCATTATAAATTGGAACAAAACTTAGACATTACAAGAGAAATCAAGACAGCTAGTTTGGTACCTCCTCCAGTATAAGGAAGAGGTGCCTTTTAGCTTTCTGTCTTCTTCTCCTTTCTTGTCCTTGCACTTTCACTCATCGTAATAATTCTAAAAAAAAAAAAGCAAAATACACAACAATATGGCGATATTAAGTCGGTTACTGTCGTTAGCCCTTCTCTCCTTGTTGGTTTCTTCTGCAATCGGAGAAAAAACTAAAGGTGTTACCTATGATGGTCGTTCAATGATCGTCAATGGTGAAAGGGAATTGCTCTTTTCTGGTTCCATTCATTATCCTCGTATGCCTCCTGAGGTAACCAATTGATACTGAATCGAACTATGTGCACATATGTATACATATAATAAGATCACGTAATAATATTTTGAACCAACAAACTCAAGATTCTACGTCTTTTAGACATAGTACGTAAACATTTATTGGATTTGCTAACGAAAATCATACTGTGATGGAATGTTGCAGATGTGGCCAGACATCATCAGGAAAGCTAAGGAAGGAGGTCTGAACCTAATCCAGACTTATGTTTTCTGGAATATTCACGAGCCCGTTCAAGGCCAGGTAATCAACGTCAATGTTTCAAATTTGAACATTATATTTCAATCTTGTGCACAAGGAGATCAAAATGGTTAAACTGTTTTTCCTTTGAATTTGCAGTTCAATTTTGAAGGAAATTATGACGTGGTGAAATTCATCAAGGCAATTGGTGAACAAGGCTTGTATGTAACCCTCAGGATTGGACCATATATTGAGGCTGAATGGAATCAAGGGTATATACAAATCCATCAATTTTGACCTCTCTATAATTTTGTTTATAATTAACTATAGTTGCTTAATTATGGTTTATTGACTACAGAGGATTCCCGTACTGGCTAAGGGAGGTTCCAAATATCACATTCCGTTCTTATAACGAACCATTCATCGTACGTATATCACATTTTAAACAATTACAGACAATTAACTGGTTTTTAATTAAATTGTTTATTTCTTTGTCTCGCAGCACCACATGAAAAAGTACTCAGAGATGGTCATTGATTTGATGAAAAAGGAAAAGTTGTTTGCTCCCCAAGGAGGCCCCATCATCATGGCTCAGGTATGTATATCAAAATTGGCGAAATCACTAATTCTATCAAAAAAAATTAAAAAATACAAGAATATCAGACGTAACGAAATTCAGAACGGTAACCTACAACAATTTTTGAGGCACCTTTGCCGCGACCTTAGAAGCCTCTTTTCAAAGAGATTCAACAGTTTATATATGTACAGAAGACGGACTTGTATATCAAGCACCATCTACTAATGTGGTCTTATAACGCAGATCGAAAACGAGTACAACAATGTACAACTAGCATACAGAGACAATGGGAAGAAATATGTAGAATGGGCTGCTAACATGGCTACTGGATTATACAATGGTGTCCCTTGGATCATGTGCAAGCAAAAGGATGCCCCTGCCCAAGTGGTACGTTTATCTCCGTGTGACCTATAGGTCACGAGTTCGAGGTGTAGAATCAGCAACTGATGCTTGCATTACAATAGACTGTCTACACTAGGCTTTTCCTGAGGTGTGGTCCTTCCCAGGACCCTGCGTTTTGAACGCTTCGTGCACCGGACTGCTTTTTTCATATGAATAACCAAATAAAATGATAGTTAAAATATAATAATTCTTTTCCATTTTTCTCAATTTATTTCCACAGATCAACACTTGCAATGGAAGGCATTGTGCAGATACTTTCACAGGTCCAAATGGTCCCAACAAACCTTCTTTGTGGACTGAAAACTGGACTGCCCAGTAAGTATATGAACTTCGTTTTTTTTTTTTTTTTTTTTTTTTTTTTTTTTTTTTATAATGTCTAATAAATTGTAATGTTATGTCTAAATTCTAATATTTAAAAAATGATTTGCAGATATAGGACTTTTGGAGACCCACCATCACAAAGAGCAGCAGAAGATATTGCATTTTCTGTAGCTCGTTTCTTTGCTAAAAACGGAACCCTTACAAACTATTACATGGTACATATATATTATTTTTCATAAATTAACTTTTAAAAAATGGCTTAAAATTAATTTCGTTCTTGTTAATTTTCAGTACTATGGTGGAACCAACTATGGAAGAACTGGCTCTTCTTTCGTAACAACTCGTTACTATGACGAAGCTCCCCTCGACGAATTTGGTTAGTGTTACGATTAAATTTTATGCACTGACGATTTAAAAAATATTGTAATCCGGTCACTTTAACAGACATCTGTTACAAACATTAATTGATAAAAACAGTACTAACTATAACATATATATAACTGAATGGTTAACTAATAGATATTTTTATTATATGTTTTCAGGTTTGTATAGGGAACCAAAATGGAGTCATTTGAGAGATTTGCACAGAGCTTTAAGACTATCAAGAAGGGCTCTCCTTTGGGGAACTCCCTCTGTACAAAAGATTAACCAACACCTTGAGGTAATTAATTAAAACCATTTGTATTTTTAATTTACCCTAAAAAAAAATTCTTTTACATACTAGGAGTAAGAAATTTTGTTCAAAATTGATTAAAATCTCATTAATTATTTTCTTAACTGTTATTTTACAGATTACAGTTTATGAGAAGCCTGGAACTGATTGTGCTGCATTTTTAACCAATAACCACACAACTTTACCTGCCACAATTAAGTTCAGGGGTAGAGAATATTACTTACCTGAGAAATCTGTTAGCATTCTCCCTGATTGCAAGACTGTTGTCTACAACACTCAAACGGTAAATATATTACATAGTAAAAAAAAAAAAAGTAATTTTAATCTGAAAATGGACATTAATTTTATTTTTTGGAAAACAGATTGTCTCTCAACATAATTCAAGGAATTTCCTCCCATCAGAGAAAGCAAAGAATCTTAAATGGGAAATGTACCAAGAAAAAGTCCCAACCATTAGTGATTTGTCACTTAAGAACAGGGAACCTTTGGAACTTTATAGTTTAACAAAGGATACCTCAGATTATGCTTGGTACAGTACAAGGTAATTATAATTAAAGTTCATTATTATTCTTGTTAATGCCTTTTATTATCTTAATTAATCAAATTGAGTTTACTCTAATGTTGAATTTGTTATGATAATAGTATCAACTTTGATCGCCATGACTTGCCTATGAGACCTGATATCCTCCCCGTCCTCCAAATCGCAAGTATGGGACATGCATTGTCTGCGTTTGTTAATGGCGAATTTGTTGGTACGTTGATTCTTGATATTGGAACGAGTTTACGTTTTATACACTGACCATATTATTGCATGCTATAGTGTTAAGTCGTACTGATAATATAAAAATTCTTTATTCAGGGTTTGGACATGGTAACAACATTGAGAAGAGCTTTGTTTTCCAGAAGCCTGTCATCTTGAAACCTGGAACTAACACCATCTCAATTTTGGCCGAGACAGTGGGCTTCCCGGTATTTTTTTCAATTTTTTCCCCACAATATTAAGAAAATAAGTTATATGCAAATTATTTAAGCAATAATAACTGACGGTCTAACTATATTCAGTGCAATTTAACCTGTTATATATCGTGTTACTTATTATTTTTTCGTCCGAATTTATTACAATGCAGAATAGTGGAGCCTACATGGAAAAGAGGTTTGCTGGACCTAGAGGTATAACGGTTCAAGGTTTGATGGCTGGTACACTCGATATAACCCAAAACAACTGGGGACATGAGGTGAAAAAGCATACAATATTACATAATGATATTCAATTATTTGATCTTTGACAAATATAACCTAATAAAAAGTATAAAATCAACTGATAATTAACCAAAATAATTGATGGCCATTTAACAGGTTGGTGTATTTGGAGAAAAAGAGCAATTATTTACTGAAGAGGGTGCAAAGAAAGTAAAATGGACTCCTGTAAATGGTCCTACTAAAGGAGCTGTTACTTGGTATAAGGTAAGCAGTAAAGTCAAGTAATATACTTTATTTTTTAGGTTACTAATCTCAGTTTTTACGAACAATTACCTGTAATTATTCTTTCTTTATCTAAAAATTTATTTTCTTTTGGGATGCAGACCTACTTCGATGCCCCAGAAGGCAACAACCCAGTGGCCTTGAAAATGGACAAAATGCAAAAGGGTATGATGTGGGTCAATGGTAATAGCCTTGGTCGTTATTGGTCATCTTTCCTCTCTCCTCTTGGACAGCCCACTCAGTTCGAGTAAGTATATATCTATAAAAAAGTCACATAAATTAAAAAAAGAAATCCCCCAAAACAGTCCTATAACATATTTTACGTGTGATATTTCAGGTACCATATTCCAAGAGCTTTCTTGAAACCAACGAACAATCTTCTAGTCATCTTTGAGGAAACCGGTGGTCACCCTGAAACCATTGAAGTACAAATAGTAAACAGAGACACAATTTGCAGCATCATTACTGAATACCATCCTCCTCATGTCAAATCATGGGAAAGATCCGGTACTGATTTCGTCGCGGTCGTAGAAGATCTCAAGTCAGGAGCACACTTAACTTGCCCCAGCAACAAAATTATTGAAAAAGTTGAGTTTGCTAGTTATGGTAATCCAGATGGTGCATGTGGAAACTTGTACAATGGAAATTGCACTTCTATTAATAGTCTCAAAGTTGTAGAAAAATATTGCTTAGGCAAAAATACATGCACAGTTCCAATTGAGAGAGAAGTATATGACGAGGCGAGCAAGGACCCATGCCCTAATATTTTCAAGACATTGGCTGTTCAAATGAAGTGTGGGAATAAGAATTAGGGCCATATATATAGGCTGAAAGTTTGGCTATAACATATATTAAATGTATATACTAGACTTTATGCCTTGTATTCACAGCTTCAATTTGTTTTGTATTACTTCAAATAAAACACAATATTTCAGCAATATTAGTCTTTGATTTATTTATATTCCCTGCTTATAGTAAGGAATAAAATTGTTCACATTGTGGATGCAAATTTTCTTGGTAGCTTCTTTATATATATGAAGATGTTGGCATTTTTTGTAAGTTGAATAACTCAATTTTTTACTAGTTGTTACATTCTTCAATAAATTAATTCATGTTTGATAGATTGATATTAACCAACTTTTATTGTATTAATTTAATTTGATTTGTCTGCACTGACCCAGTTAAACTATATTGGTAATTCTTTACATTATCAAAATATATATAACTTAAATCTTTTTCTATAACCTCTCATAGTTTATATTTTCTGCAAAAGAAAAAATGATGATGGAAAATTGTTGGCAAAAATGTTGGCAACATTTATATATATATGTGTGTACATATATATATATATATATATATATATATATATATATATATATAGGAGGAATGGTGCTATTTAAATGTGTAGCTCACTATCAAGTCTTTCTTTTATACTCCAAGCAAATAATTAGGAGGAGATAATGGATTTTACTCTTTAATTTGGAACTTCGAACACTTATTACAATGTAGAGATTGGTCAAAGCCTAATCCACCCATATGATAGTTGAGTTGATGTTAAATATGTTTTTTTCGTGCTTAGTCTTATAGCATCACGAGTTACTAATATTTTCTGATGCAGCTAAGTGAATTTAGCTTAAAGCGAAGGATTAATCCCAAGGTATAGAGTAAATGTTTAGTATTCACCAGTCAATGTGATTTAATATTTTAAAATATCGTACATCCCTAGTTAATCTAAATTTAACGTTTACTTTTTGTACAAAGTGCAACTTAGCTACAATAGGATCTAGCTAGGCACCTGAGGTATGAAATGAAGGATGAATTTCACTGGCTTCATGCTCAAGGTTAGAGAGAAGAGTCCAATGAGTCCACTAGTCCATAAATATAGTTGAATGGAACAATAGGGGGTTACACTTTTCACTGTGCCGAGATGTGAGGTGCATGTGGTGTTGATCAGCCCGGAGTATGCGCTAGCACCCTTGATAGGCACTCCAAAAACGGCTAACGCTCATGAAAATCTAGGTCAGTCATTCCTCCATTCATCCGGTCGGAGGTATGAATAACATTTGACGAACAAATTTTAACCTTTTGAAAAAAGAGAAAAAAAGAAAAGAGGAAAGGCTAGCTAGGAAACGAGTTTGTTTCCTATAGATAAAATGGTGCTACTAATTGAGCCTTGGTTCTATAATTATATGTTTGTTTGTTTATATTTCATAAGATATGTCCTAAGAGAAAACTATGTTGGCTTTGTTTCTCTAACATAACTTTAAAACTATATGATCCTATTATCCGTTTCACTCTATATAAGCTGTGTCTATCCCAACAAATTCAGTATTCAACAGATTGAACTTTATCATTATATATGTTATATACAAAAATTATACGAATTTTATATACTTTTTCGGCTACTGAATATAAATAAATTCTGGCGCGGACTAAAAGTGACATTTACCATTGGGCGACTTTTTTCACTTTTAACCCGGAAATACAGAATGTATATATATACAAAAAAAAATATTTTTTTTTCTGGCTATTATTTTGAGAACGGCTATATGATGTCATTTTCCCTATCTAAAATCCACATACAATATCAACTTTCGTGAATTTGAAAAATGCTGCCCGATCACATTTCTATAAATTTCAAGATACAAAGACACGAAATAAACAAAAATGATGTAGCGGACATCAAATAGTTCCTAATATTGTCAAAACTCATTTTATAAAGATACATTCAGTCAAACTTCTCTATAATAGCCTTGTTTGTTCTAACACTTTTTGCTTATTATAGTGAAATGTTGTTATAGAGGGCATATATTACTAACATAATATAAAAAATAATTCCTAAAAAAACTTAACTTTTATTGTGAATGGTTATTATATAGGAATGTTGTTGTAGAGAGGTCTGACTGTATTTGTATCTGATATAGATTCAACAGACTTTTGACAATTAGAGAACTTCTCAGGATACTTCAAAACTACCATATTCAGAGAAGCAAAATGTTTAATCGCTAATAGCCAATTAGTACAACAACAATTGACAAAGGACCGTGTGTTGGTGTGAGCTTCAATGGAATTTATTACAATGCATTACAAATAGCTGAAATGTCGAAGGAAAGTTATAATCTCAAATCTGTGAGAAGTCAAAGGACGGAGGCAACATTGTGACCATACACTTATGTACTTTACGAGCTCAGTGTGTCAAAAATGAAGAAGAATCTTACTACGTATTTACGAAAATTTACAGCAGAAACAACTCCTGCAGAAATCTTGAACAAGCTTCACAGCAGCAGAAAGAACCCCTGAGAAATCTTGAACAAGGCTTCAATCTCAGCTGTTAAATTAAACAGCCAAAACACAGGCAGTAAGAGTTAAATTTTTTGAATAAGAAGCAACAATGCATTCAAGCAACGTAAGTCAGCAAGCACAATTACATGCCTTAGACAATAGACAACAAAGAAATTACTCAGTATACAATTTAACAAGTAACTTAACTGAAAACTGAGCACTGATGAAACTATCATTGAAACATAAAGGTAGAAAAGAAACGAGTCAAGAATGTATCACTAACGATGTCTACCCATCCGATTCTAGATGCTTACAGACCTTGCTATTGTTAGTTTGATGACGATGTTCAACAGCAGCATTACCGAGGACCAGAAGCACCAATTTTCTCAAGTTTTATGCACAAGTCCATTTGTCACTATTGGCTTATGACAAATCAAAAGATCCTTGACCTTCATTAATGGCATAGAGTAACTTCTTGTACATGATTTCCTGTGGAGTGAAATAATGCATAAGAAATTTACTTGGGGTAAAAGACACAGAACTGACTGGGAACAGGAAATATCAAACTGCTGTAAGACGCAGACGCAGGGAGAACATTGGCAGCATATGGCAATAGCAATAAGAGAAACTCTACCTTAGTAGAATAGGGAGGAAGTTTCAAGTAATTAGCACATGTCATCACGCTAGGTAGGTCTTCATCTGCAGATTCTGATGGTGCATTACTGTTGTGTGCTGCATTGCCAGCATTGGATGAATGCTGTTCCAAAGATATGATGGTCAGTCACTGAAATAAAGAGACATGGAAAATAGGCCCACTTAACTTTTAGCTACAACCATTACCTTCCTCACAATTGTCAACTTAGGATTCAGACCAGCAAGACCACCTGGAGGGAGCCGGGGAGCGCCAGTGACAAACTGACAGAATGCTCGTTGCTGCTCCAGTGTGAACTCTCCCATAATCTCTAGTAACTGAGGATAATAATATATTACAACTTATAAACTTGAAACAAATATAAGTGAATGATGAAGAACAGAATCCTAATCATCATTTTTTTCAGGCAGTTTTTTCACCAACAGCAGAAGAACAAAACTTACGTGAATAATGGGAGGACTCTTGGCTGTGTACCCATGGTCGAATTTAATATGATCTACTAACGTCTCGGGCTGCATAACAAAAAAGAACACAACATATTCAATCAAATGAAGGAAATCTAAGCCTTATCATAACCAGAGGATTCATGAGAAGAAACGTTACCTTCCACAACTCTCGACGGCCACATAACAAGTAGTCCAACTCTGTAGCAGAGAATATTTGTAGAGTTGAAATGTCAAAAACCTGAAAATTGTGGAGCCTAAAAGTTATCTATTTTTAGATATAAAATCATCTACAGGTATATCTAATTTGCTAATATATTAAATAAATCACGATCTGCAACAAGGAACTATCAGATTGTCCCACTATGTACTGTTTTAACCCCACAAGATCATCTTAGTCATTTTAAGTTCTCCAGAAAAAATCCTCAAGCTATAAAGGCTTACGACAGCAGCAAACCTGATTGAAGCCAGATCTAAAAGCTTCCGCTTGCTGCCTGATTCCAGACCTGACAGTAGCATCAACTACCAAAGAAACGTATTCCTCCAAGTTACTGAGATCCACCTGCAAATTCCATCCAAGGTATTGAAAGAAATATCAACAGAAACAAGGCATGCAATTGAGGGACTTCTATCAAATACCAAAAGTAAAAAGAGAAGAAACAAAAGAATAAAAGGGATAACATCCAAGATATCACTGCTTACATTCTCATCGCCTGCTTTAAGAACATATTCAGGATAGCCGGGAAGTGTGAAATCTAAACATAGATCCTCAATTGGTGTCCCGTGGAAATGCACGTCATAAAATTTGTCTTGGTTCTGATCTTCCATAGATTCTATATATTGCTTTCGACTAACAAGAGCTTGTAACTCTTGCAAAGTCTTCCCTAATTCAGCGTCAAAAGAAAGAATATCGTACAAATCAAGCTCCTGCAGTGTTTAAGTTAGAAACATTAGTGGAACAGATAAAATACAAAGGTGCGTGCAACAACTGATCACAGAGTACAAGTGTGCAATATGACAAAGAACAGCAGGTAGAGCTTACTTCGCCAAGAACAAGCTTATAGAAGGCAGTTGACAATGGAAGGTCCATAAGCCGTCCATCTTGAAGAGCTTTGGCCATAACACGTCCAAGCAAGCGGAAATGTTCAATTACCTTACAGAATTGACCTCCATTAACAGTATCAGCATGTGGTGGCCAGGGACATGGGAATAATCCAAGAGGTGCTCGGACAAGATCTTTATCACCCCCACTTAATTTATTATCTACACAAACTTCCATCGAATGTCCATTTGACGTTGATGATGAACCAGACCTCCACATTCCAAGTCCGACTTTTTGAAGATCATGACTTAAAAGGGTATAAAACTCCAGTGTAGGACCCAAGCCAGTACCAACTTCACCAAAATATTCAACTTCAAGAACAGCTTTTTGGCTAGAGTACATCTCCATTACTTTAGCAGCAGAATCCAGAATGCGGTTCCTTGAGACACGAACTTTCTGGCGCTGCAATCTACCAACTCTAACTGCTCTCTCATGAGTAGATCCATTACCTTCAGCACCTTGCTGTTGCTGTAGCCTATTTAAAGCGCGTGATAACCCAAAAGCAGTTGAATAGAAGAACTGGCGCCGAGTCTCAAACGGAAAAAGAAATGGACAGGCCTTTGTCAACTGGTAACACCAAGATGGAAGAGACCCACTACAAAGTGCAAGAGCATCCTGGATCTGTCGTGCCAATTTTGGAGTGAGCTTACTATTAACAAATTCCTCATAAGGAATTTTGACGACCGTAGTATTGACCTCATCTAAACTAGAAACTTTTCCTTCAGCGTAATCATCAATCAGTGAAAGGACACGCAAACGGGGGGCAAGCCGATTCAGCGCCTCCAATACACGTAATAGGTATAAAATACTGTAAGTAGGGTTACTTTTCTCCAGATCACAAGGAAGTTCTCCCCGCAATATACTATCTAACAATGATGCTTGAAGCAAGGAGGGATCAGCACTGGAACTTTCCAAAGAACTGGCTTTCGTAGACTTGGAAGAAATTGAGCTCCCAGCCCCATTCATCAACCCCTCAGCTTGGCTGTCTGCCCTTTGGTATGTGATAGTGTAAATATCACTCCAAACCCTACTTCCGTCACTGGATGCAAAATCATAGCCATCATCTCTCTCATCATCATCCTCGTCTAGAACAAGCTGCCGCTGGATAGCCTGGTAGATAGTCAAGTGCCTATTAAGCAGCTTTCCACCAACAGAAAATATTAGTTTTGGTGGATCACCAGAGCCAAATAGAGGGCGCCCGTGCTGATCTCTAGCGTCCCTCACACCTCGACCACCAGCAGATGAAAGTCCCGCCATGGCAGCAGCAGCAAATGACATTGCACCCCGTGAACTGTAGGAACTCCTACTCCTGAACTCAATGGAATTAGATCCCCCAGCGGAGGTTCTGCTCCTAGAACCACCACCAGCATTTGTATGGCTATCACTTGGCGTCTGTGCAAGAGGACTATCCTCCGAGGAATCTACCAATTTAACATCATGCACTTCATCTTGCAAGCAGACAGGAAGCGAATCATCCCTCAGCATCTGGAAATATGGGCAGACAAAGTAAGAGTGTCGCTAAAACCATATGTGCCCAACCATCTGTATCTAACATTCAAAGAGATTTTCAGAGTGACGCATCGAGAAAAGGATAAAGGTATGCACATACGGGAAAGCAAATACAAACCCTTCCTCCCTCCTCTCAACCCCCAAGAAAAAAAGCAGTCTGTAAATAGATACCTACTTTTTTTATAACCAAGATATCCGATATTTCCAGCTTCAGAATTCGGTGGACAATGAAATTGCCCCTACACACTTCCCCACTTAAAAACTATTCTTTCTCTTCCTATAAATGATACTCCCACAAATTTTTCCTGGGTATTTTCTTTTTGGGGTTAAAGTCATATTTCTCTGGGCAGATGTCATTATCTATTGTTTGCATTATTCATCTTCAACCTACTACTTATGCACTCCTAAGAATGTCAAGATAAGGTGAATCCCAAAGCCTGCCCTAGGAGGGCTGACAAAATTACTATCCGAAGTTTGGTTTATTTTTTTAACAGGAATGACCAATCCGTTGATTCAATGCTCTATGTAAGGGTCTTGGGTTGCTATAGGTACAAGTTAAGTGACAAACAATTCCATAACAAGGGGTGGGATTACACACAGGGAACAGGAGGAAATGTCCAATTTACGTCCTCCCCATACCTTCCAAATTCTACCCCCTCCCCTCAACAAAAATCCCCTCAAAGAGAACCCCACTGGCTTCACCTAGCTTATGACTTTCCTACCAACACCAGCTAAATCAGTTTACTTTATATTCTAAAATTTCAGTTACTTATATAGAAGGGAAGGGTTTGATTGTGCCCAAGAAAGTATATCTCATTGCGAATTCCATGCCTTACTCAAGAACTAAAAGTAGGATAAAAGTATGTGCACTCTCAACCACAGTCCTTACTTAATGATCCTTCATCTCACAGCCCCTTGCTGTCATAGAACAGATTTAACCTATATTCTGAGATCCGCAAACCAAAACCCAGACCAACTCTGATTTTTTACTTGAACCCTGATCCACAAGCACATTAATTTCATGTTTGTTTTCTAATAGAATAAATTTAATCAGGCTTTCCTTTCTTTTTCCCACGCAATCAACCCACTTAAAAGTGTCCTATGAGCTTGCTCCCTTTGGCCAACATTTCTTTAATTTATGTACTTCTAACTACATTCCTTGCACTAAAAGAAAGAGTAAATTTCATTATTTGGCACTAATGCATCTTTAAGAATCAGAAAATCAAAGGCTTACAGTTACTGCAGCTTCTAATCTAAAGTTTCCAGGCCAAAGTTATTTCATTTGCCTAACAATGTCAAGAAGACTTCAAACTCTTAAGATCGAGTTAATCCCTTTAGAACAAATTAAGCAAAAAATAATAAAAATAGAAAGAAAAGAAAAAGGAGAGAAATTTAGTAACAAACATCATCATGGTCATCTTCATCTTCGTCGGACATATCGTCTTCAATCACCAAAGCATCATCAAGTTCAACGTGAGAAATATCCAGCTCGTCATCCTTAAAATGAGAACAAGCAGGAAAATGTCAGCAGTCATGATGTTATCAAAACCATTAACCCCGGCTTAGTAGTTGAAAAATGTAAGGAACAACCAGGAAAAAAATCTAGGTTTCCATAAATATCTTTGCTTCATCTGGAAAACTCAAATTTTCAATAAAGCAATAGGGGGTGATTAACAAATCACTTTGATCTCCTTCAAAAAGCTGATTATGTCAAGAATTATCAGCCAGAAGATGAAGATATTACATTACCTTGGAGGAAGTTTGAGATGTGAAACTAAATGTTTGATTATTTTCAATGAAGTTGCTAAGAATTAAGATATCAATCAGATGCATATGATTTGCTTCTTACTTGAGAGATGGGAGTTCAACTTTTGACAAGGGTTTGCAAAATACAGTTTAAACTGTAAACAAAACAATAATATTACAGTTTGATTTAATTTGCAATTAGAAGAGAATAGTTTAGTTTGTAAACCATTCAAAGCTGTCATTCAGTTTGGTTACAAAATCTTTTGAAACAAAACCAAATTGTAAATCGGTGTTTGACTAAAAGTATATTTTTAAAACATACATAAATGCTAGTTCGTGTATAAACCCTTATAAAAAGAAAATTATCCACCCTTTTTCTCAAAGTTATATTTTATGAACATAAGTTTGATGGGACATTAGATTTCCTAAGTTAAGGCTGCTCTAGCCTCTACCAATGTAAAATATAATTTTTTAAAACCCTGTACTCCTAATCGAATTTCGGTGAATTCATAAACTAAAACGAAGCCCGATTTGGTTTCAAGTTTCAGCGTTTAAATGGCTTGGAGAAGTTGTGAACCATACTTGGAAAAATCACAAACCATCAAGAGATAATATCCTTTCTTAGCTTGATCAATGTTATCCAAGACTAGCAGGGGCTACGTGGTTAACAGCCTTCACAAGTTCCCTGTTATCTTCCTTCTTTTAAACAATCATCCTGTTTCACCAACTAATTTCCAAGATGACACGAAGAGAAAAGAACAGAAAACAAGACATCTACAATTAACGGCTCTAAACATTTCTGAGGTTTAACTTGAGACCCGTATAAGGTTACTCCTTCAATCTGAAGTCGTGTAAACTCAAGCAACTACCAAGCCAAAAATCTTCTATATACGTACATACATACATACATACATACATACATACATACATACATACATACATACTTGCATACCAAAAAAAAGTGAACAAAATTACCTCTGAAGAAGAGTCCCCATTAACAGGTTTCCCCTCTGTATCCTTATCCAAGGCTGCTTTTCTTCGAGCAGCATTTTTTGTTTGAGGTCCCCTGCAATCTCCTTGAGCAGGCTTCATAACCGCTTTTCCTTTGCCCTTCGAAGAGCTTCCATCTTTTTCCTGCAGTGACCCCTTAGCACTGTCATTTATATTAACTGCTGACCTAGATCGTGTAGAATGACGACGAGGTGCAGAGGCAGGAGTAGACATAGATGGATATGATGCACCGCCTCCTGCAGGTATGGTCCCAGACCCAGAGTTGCCTGAAGAAGCAGAGGCCTTGTGCCCAGACTCANGGAGGCCTTCTGCCCAGACTCAGGTCGCTTAACTCGGGGCCAGAGGAATCCTTCAATAGCTACTAAACTTGCCAAAGGATCAATTAACAAAACATTTGAGGAGTAGTCGCGGAGGGTTTTCTCTCCTTGAGCTCTGCAAAGGCGCAGCTTAAAAGGCTGAGACAAAGCACTTAAACCTGAAGATAGACGTGCATTTCCTGTCGATGATCTGGAACTATGACTCAGCACAACGGGAAAACGCTCCAAGGAACATAGAGCATTTTGAAGCTTTTGGACCAGAACAGTCATGGGAACCACACTTCCACCATCAACACCAGCAGGAAGAGCAACTGCAATAAAAGACTTGTACCTTTTGATTGCTTGTTCTCGAAGCCTAGGCAAACTAGCATTAGAGATTTTTTCCTTAGAAAGATGTCCACACGTAAAATAATTGAGCAAAGAAGCAACAACTCCACTTCCAATAAACTCAAAAGTTGAAACACCGTCCCCTTTGCTGAGCTCTCCCAGCATGGCAGCTATCACTTCAGCCAAGGTTTCTTCCTTACAGATAGAAATATCCCCAAGCTGAGGCCCAAATGTTTTTGACTTTCCTTTAGGTTTAGCTATTTGATCATCGATACCAGCATTCAACTTCATGCAGAGATTCTTCAATTGTAGAAGATCATCTGTGGCACCAGCTTCAGTAGCCTCTGAATCTGAAGGGAAGTATTTATCCTTGAAAGATTTTGCACATGAACTGACTGCCATCCGAGGATTAGAATTGACTGTCGGAATTTCCATTGGATCTGGCGGAGATCCAATACTTGGAACTGGACTTTTAGGATCTTCAACAGAAGTCGCATCTGTATGGGAATTAGTGCTACAGCGTCGATTACATTTCTCCTTCTCACCACGTGTTGGCTGGGTAGTAGCAGAACCATGAGACTCAGTCAGTATCAAAGTATCAACAGCATGAACAACACCTTCTCGGACAAACATCTTGCCAAAAACTCCAGGGAGCTTTTGCATTAAAATTTCTGCTATTTGAAGAGCGGGCACCAGTACTTGGGGATCCTTCCAAGCCAAAACCCCAGCCAAGAAACTACGAAGACATCATATTCAAGCATTACTTTCAGGGAACTCGCACTGAGAAAAATATCATGCAAAGAGATATTGTCCTGTGGATAAACTAACTTCCACGTGCTAAATGTTGAAACAAAAGAACAAGCTTTAATCTGTCCCAACATACCTTGATACGTTAGTGACATTAATTAAAGACTGAATCATATCTGCATTACTGAAATACATAAGTTTTCCAATAACTGAGAGACACTTGTGGCGTGCTGCAGTATTCACACTGGATCCATATGTCTGATCAGCAAAGGGCAACAGAAAGTCACATCTCTAGTGTCCACTATGGTAAGGTAGTGACATTAATACACCCGTAGAGTTACAATACTAACCTGGATTAGAACAGGAAGGAGATCCGTTCCAAATTGTTGCAGAAGTTCAGGTTGATCATTCAATAGTTTCTCACGAGCTGATACCTCCTGAGAAGATGCATTCAGATCCTCCTGTTTGACAGAACCACTAGCAGAAGGTTTCCTTGTAAACGAGCCCCTAATGAACAAATTAGTGCTAACTGGAAGAGAGATGGTTCCTTGAGGCAGCGGAGGAAGAAGCTCGTTTGCCAGATTCACAATCTCAAAAATCTATAATAAGAGGAAATTACACTTAGGGGTCAATCCTAAGAGCAAGAACTAGAATGCCCAGAAAATAGCTAACGAAAGAGGTCGAATTCAACTAGCAGTTTGAATATGTCAAGCAAATTACATGAATGCACCAAACAAAAAATACCAAGCTTAATAGGAAAGTTTGCAGGGCTTCCATGGACGTGTACCAACTGAGCAGAAAAAGAAATAGATAAGCTTTGAAGGTTAATGAACTAACTAGATCCTCATTATTATCAATTAGAAAAACCTGTTCTGGACTCAGGTGTTTCATTCCAGACAGAGACACACTGTACGAGTACGACCTTGTTTTTGAAACAAAAGGTTGTCCCGCTAATCCGTGTTACATGGAGTGTGGTACCATCTACCGAACATTTTTTTGTTGCTTTTCTGGAATTTTTTCCTTTGGTAGGGGTAGGGGAAGCGCCCGGCTATTACACTATATTTAATGCAGTGTTTGACTGAATTTAAAAACTCCAGCAATTTCTCATTGTTTTCGTAGAACATCTATCCCTTGGGGGAATGACAAAGTAAAGACACAGTAATGGATTTGTTTCACAAGCTAATGGTATTCAAACCCCAGTTATTGTTCACTTTCACCTTATCCGCATGACAAATACATAGAATATCTAATTGTTTCTCCTCATACCACAAATATCAAATATTCAGTATGCACTACTTGTTCCATATTTTCAATGATTCAGTAAAGTTCATATTTTTCTTTCTGATACTCCTGAACAAATCCCTGTGGCCACAGTGACAAATACAGCAAGCAGTGGATTGCGAAAATTAAAGCTATCACACATACCTGCTCTGGAGGTCTGCTCAAGGCAGGTGAAATAGAGACAGTCGCCACGAGGCCAGAACCAGATAAAATGTCCTTGAGGATCCGACTGATACCAAGTATCATCAAGGTTTTAGCCCCTAATGGAGAACCACTGGCAGACGTAGAAAGAAGCCGGATCAAACCCTGCAAACCAAATCAAGTCATAATACAGACCCATGTAAATGATCGACACATTCAAGAACTAAACCTACTGTGTAAGTTTCCGTGCTGAGCGAAGCCTGACCACCTCCAGAATTACTGGTTGAGATGAGGGAGGCAGCTTGCGTGACAAGTCCGTGATTGCAGAGTTCATCTAGTTTCTCTGGAGATGTTGCAAATGCTTCAGCAATCCGGGTCAAGCAGATAGAAGCATGCTCTAATACCTACAAACATATCCAAGAACCATGAAAAAAAATGATAAAGAAAGAAGGCTTAACAAAATTTGGTTTGGGGGGGGACTAAAATAAGTTCAGCAAGCCAAATTATTTGCTGAATCATCCCGTGATTTTGGCATGACGAGATGATGATCTCACCTTTGCATCATGATACTGAAGGAGATTCGTCAACAGTGGAACAGCTTCCATCACAAAGTCAGCCGCATCCGAAGGCAGCTTCTTGCACATATTAGCAGCGGTTGCTAATGCTACTCTCTATAGGAGGAGGATAAAAGAATCTGAATAGTACTCAACCTACTAACGGAACTAAGAATGGCTTATGTCCATAACATCATTTACAATTTATTAGCTTTGCTACCTGAACACCGGTGGAAAAGAAGTCGAGATACGAAAGCACAGCCATGAGTGCACCTGCTCGCAAACAAGCAGTTGGGTCTTCCTGAGATATCTTCTTTAAAGCTTGTAGAGACTGTTAAAGCTAAACATTAGCATCATAACTTAAAATTTTGATCATTCCAATCTTAAGCAAAGCGATTTAACAATGCTTATTCTATTTGCAGAAATGTTATATAGAGAATTTCTAGTTCTAGATAACCTTTAATTTTCACATAAGTAAACAATTTATTGATCATCGGAATGAAATGCGTCCAAAATGATTCACATAACCAACCCCAACTAGTTTAGCATCGAGGCACAATTATTGTAAAGAATAAAACTTTATCACCTGTTCAGCTAAGTCCATGTATTCAATAGTGAGCAACCGAGCTACAAAACATGAAACTGCTCCATAATGCACAACAGCAGCACAAGAAGATGGTAAAACATCAACCAAATGAGTTAACGCCCTAGCTGCAAGAAGCATAATATCAGGATTACTACTCCCCCCATGATTATTAAGCAACCCGACAAGCACAGGTACAAAAGAGTCCACTGAAAAAGTGCTCAAAGAGTCTTCTGTTCCAATAGAAAGCATCACACAAAGCTGTGTCAATGCCTCTATTTGTTTCCCTTCTTCACCATCAGCTCTTAAACCCGATAATATCTTCTTCAGCCGCCCGTTGGACGAGGATGAAGCGGACCCCACCATTGCTGAACTCGGCAGTAAATCATCCAACCCAGCACCTAATTTTCTCAACAGTCCTTGAAGTGCACTACTTGTTGACGTCAAATTATGATGCAAAATCCCTACATCATTTTCACTTTCATTATCATTATCATCTTCATCATCCCTATCCCTAATTTCGTGTTCTTTTTCCTTACCCGAACCCGAACGACGGGCTCGGCTACCCGACCCGGAAGTTTCATTCGTGGAGTCCATAGGAAGTGAACGTTTTGTGACACGAGAACGAGTTGAGGGGGCGCGTGTGGTGAGGCGAGCAGGCTTAGTAACGCGAGTGGTGGGACCAGAGGAAGTAGAATAAGAAGAAGAAGGCGCTGATGACGTGGCTTCCTCCGTCAGTTTCCGGCTCCGAGTTTCCATACAAGGTCGCCGATAATCGGCGATCAGACACAGTACACCGGAATTATCGCCATCTTTTCAGAAACCCTAATTCACAAATTTGGGCGAGGTAAAAAAGGGGAATTTTGATTGATCTAGCTCAACCCAAATCGCACTTTTTTGGAAAATTCAAGTGATTTTAATGTATTGCAATGAACTACAATCGAGCTCTTCGAGAAATCATAGGTAAAAACTGTAAAGTAGAATGTGTGTGTTGTGTGTAAAATATGATTTTATTACTAACCTTTTTCTAGATTTTCACATTTGAGCTAATTAAGAAAGAAACAAGATTATTGCAAACAAAAGTACAAAGATAATTCTTATGATTTGAGATAAATTACAATTTAATATAACACCTCTATTTACAGGGCAAAGGTGATTAGTCACCAAGTAACAAACTCTAAAATCTCTCTAAAATATAGACATTAACCTTAAATATAATTTTATTTAATGTGCCTCGTTAAAACCTTAACTAAAATAAAACTCAGTAGGAAAATTTTCTAATGAAGAAAAAAGAGTGTACACATATCTAATAATATGCCTTTTGGTTACCTCGTTAAAAACATTACAAGGAAACTCAGTGGGACAAAACCATGTAAGGAAAAAAGAGTACAACGGGGGGTCTCTTTTTTGCTCTCGACGCATGTTAAGTGAGGCATGCTAACATACGCCGTATACTGAATAGATGACCCATAACCACCACCAAGGGGGTCGTTCGGCGACTATGACGTAGGCGATGGTAACACCGGCGACTGGAATTCAACATAGGAAAATTCCACTGACTTTTGGTAGCTTCCTCCATTCGAAGTTTCAATCAATCAAAGAGGAGAGTGAAATTGAGGCAGAATATGGTAATTCCAACCAGAATTCTCCTGTAAGGGGAGGAAAAATGAGCAAGTGAAGAAGGAAATTCATGCACCGCGTCGACTCCAATTCTCTGAAATTGGTACTGATAAGCATCCAATAGTTATGGCGGCGAAAGAGCAAATTGAACCAATTGAAGGATTGGGCAATAATCGTAGATCTCAAATGGGGAAACCTCTTACCTATGTTCCTCCATCAATGAGGGATGGTAAGCTGGTTGTGAAGATTGTAGCAAAAGATATCAAGTCATAGGAGGAACTATGGAATTCGGCATTGATAGGATACGTTCTTGGAGACACGCCATATGCTCGATCAATGGACAATTATGTAACTATGGTATGGAATTTTATCGCAAAACCTAAGATTCTGTATCATAAATAAGGGTACTATATTTTCAAATTCCAAACGATAGAGGATAGAGATTTGGTTTTGCATGTTGGCCCATACACATATCACAACAAACTGTTCATACTGAAGAACTGGGAAATTGATTTATATTTCGATCCAGAGTGCCTTAGCACTATTCCGTTGTGGGTGAAGTTTCCAGGTTTACTAGTGGGATATTGGTTTCCTGAAGCCTTAAGCAAATTGGCTAGTGGAGTAGGTAAACCACTGTATACACACAAAATTACTGCAAAAATGGAGAAGATCTCATTTGCTAGAGTATTGGTTGAAGCAGATGTTTCTCAGCCCTTACCAGAATGTATTGAAATTGATACACCCTTTGGTGTGTTTCAACAGCAGGTGACATATGATTGGAGGCCAAAGTTTTGTGTAGATTGCATAAAATTTGGCCATGACTCAGAAAACTGCAGAAGGATTAGTACAGAAACAAAGGAGGAACCTTACCAAGAAGTGGCCAAGAGGAAAAGGAGAAGAAATAGAAAGAAGAACCCAGTCTGGCAAGCAAAAGTGCCAGATAAAGAACACGGGAAGCAACAAGGTAGAGCTGAAACTGGAATTACACAGGTAGAGGCACAGAATATCAAAGGGTCAAAAGGCAAAACCATAGTTGTACATGATACTACACAAAGAGAACTATGATGTTGCAGAAGGCCAACAGATTTGTTGCTCTAAGAATTGAGGAACCTAGCATTATAGGGGGAAGGCATGTATGTGTACAGAGGATGGTAGACCCCCAATGATTGTGTGCACCTGGAATATTAGAGGGCTAAACAAGCTCTCAAAACATAAGGAGTTTCTCTTTCGGGCAAGACATAAAATAGACATTATAGGGTGTGTGAAAACTAGAGTTAAAGAAGGTAAAGCAAGGAAAATTCTGCAGAAAGTAGCTAAAGGATGGAACTACTGTTGTAACTATAACACAACAGTAAATGGCAGAATTTGGCTCTTATGGAAGGATCATATTAATGTGCAGATACTATCAATAAAGGACCAGTATATCCATTACTCAGTGGAGGATAATACAAGCCAGTTTAATAAAGAGTTTACAATGGTCTATGCAAAGAATACATTGCAACAAAAGGGAAGAATTGTGGGCTGAACTATAGCAGTTGGGGGCACCAATCAATACTCCATAGATTCTATGTGGAGATTTTAACAGTGGTCTAACTAATGAAGATAGAATTGGGCAACCAGTCACAGCAAGGGAAATTCAAGGCTTCCAGGAAATGCTTAATAATTTGCAGCTGGCTCCAATAAGATCAATAAGATGGCATTTTACCTAGTGTAACAAGCAGCCTGTGGCAAGCAGAGTATATAGTAAAATAGATTGGGCTTTGGGCAACTTTCAATGGCTACAACAGTATGGACATATTGAGGTAGACTTTCTCAATCCAGGATTATCTGATCACTCTCTTGTTCTGCTGAGATGTGATAAGAAGAGGAGATTACATCCAAAATCATTTAAACTGTTTGCCAATGTAATGGAACATCCTGAGTTTCATGCAATATTGAGAAGGGTATGGGAGCAGAACCAGGGTGCAGATGCTATGGCCAGTATTAGTAGGAAGCTACAGGAGTTGAAGCATGAGCTAAAGGACCTAAATCAGTATATGGCCTCATATGCACAAAGGCCGAATCAAGCTAGACAAAAACTAGAGATTGTGCAAGCTACCATATGTACTCAACCCTTTTGCTAGAACTTGTTTGATCAGGAGAATGAGATACTAGCTGAAATTGATAAGTGGAGCAACATTAAAGAGCAAGCATTTAGACAGAAATCCAGGGCAAACTGGATTATGTGTGGAGACACCAATTCAAAGTACTTTCATGCACAATGGAAGATCAGACAAAGCAAAAACACAATCACATCTATCTATACAGACACAAGTATCAAACTCACAGATCCTACACAGGTGGAATCAAAGTTCATTTCATTTTTCAAAGGGTTAATGGGTAATTGCATCGGGGAGATTATATGTCCAAACTCAAAAGTCAATAAAAGAGGGCCAATGTTGAATAGGGATCAGCAAACAGAGTTGATAAAGCCAGTGACGACTGAAAAGATAGAAATAGCCATCAAAGATATGCCAACAGACAAAGCTCCAGGGATTGATGGATACCATATAGAGTTCTTTACAAAGAACTGGGACTTGGTGAAGGAAGAGGTGTATGTTGCAGTACAAGGTTTTTTTGAAACAGGAAAATTACAAAAGAAGGTGAACTGCACAGCTATTACTTTGATTCCTAAGGTTAATTCACCAACACTAGTCAAAGACTATAGACCTATAGCATTTTGTAACACCTTGTACAAAATCATTGCCAAGGTGCTACAACGGAGAATAAATGAGGTGATTGGGAACATAGTAAGTCACTCACAGTCTACTTTTATAGAAGGAAGGAGTATCATTGATAACATATTTTTCAGCCATGAATTATTCAAGGGATATAACAGGAAAAGGGTATATCCTAGGTGTATTATGAAAGTGGACCTAAGGAAATCATATGATACTATAGACCGGAGATTCTTGAGAAGAATGCTTAGTGATCTTGGATTTCCCTTCAGATTCATTGAATGGATTATGGAATGTATCACAACAGTTTCATATTCCCTAGTGCTAAATGGAGAACTTACCAAACCTTTCCAAGGAAAAAGAGGGATCAAACAAGGGGACCCTATGTCCCCTTACCTCTTTGTAATTGCTATGGAGTACTTAAATAGAGAAATGATGCAGCTGGCAGAGAATGGGGATGTTAACTTTCACCCTAGATGTAGGAAACTGAGCATAATCCACATTTGTTTTGCGGATGACTTACTCATGTTCTGCAGGGCAGATATTGAATCCATCAGACTCCTTCAAGGGACTTTTCAGAAATTTTCTGAAGCTTCTGGACTACAAGCTAACATAGATAAGAGCTCTATTTACTTGGCAGGGGTGGATGAATATGAAAAATAGTATATTATGAATGTACTGGGTTTGAAGAGGGTACTCTTCCTTTCATATATTTAGGAGTGCCACTATCATCAAAAAAATTAAATGTGTAGCAATGTTTACCCTTATTTGAGAAGATTACAGCAAGAGTAAGGTGTTGGTCTATAAGGTTACTTTCATACTCTGCAGACTACAACTGATAAAATTAGTGTTGTTTGGCATTCAAACCTACTGGGCACAGATATTCATCCTTCCTAAGAAAGTTATGAAGATGATTGGTGCAGTATACGGATCATTCTTATGGACTGGTGAAGCATCTATCATAAAGAAAACACTGATATATTGGGAAAAAGTCTGTATGCCTCAATCTGCAGGGGGCTTGAATGTCATAAACTTATGCATTTGGAACAAAGTTGCTGTGATGAAGCAATTATGGGCAGTTGCAATGAAAAAAGGCTGCCTATGGATAAAATGGGTTCATAACTACTATATAAAAAAGCAGGACTTGGAGCACATGCCTACACCCAAGACTGCAGCTTGGGTAATCAGGAAAATCATAGAGACAAGGGAGAACTTGAAGAGGCAGTCCATGCAGGGATCCTTGAGTGATCGACTGAAGATATTGCAGGTGCAAGAACAATTTTCAATCAAACAGGCCTATCTTATGTTGATGCCCCAGTATCAAAAAGTCCCTTGGAAGAGCATAGTTCTGTAGACAAGCATTCACCCTAGATTCAAGTTCATATTATGGTTGGCTGTACATGAAAGGCTATCTACTGTGGATAGACTAAATAAAATGGGAATACATGTGCCAAAGATTGTGTATTCTGTAAAGCTGCAAATGAAACACTGCATCACCTATTCTTTGAGTGCCCAGTTACTAGCAGAGTATGGACCAGATTACTGGTATGGCTAGGCATGAAAAGGAACATAAAGGGATGGAAAAATGAGCTTACATGGGCAAGCAGAATGGCTAGAAAGAAGATAGGAAAAGCTGCAATCACTAGCTGTGTGTTTGCTATGATAATATACAGTATATGGAGGGA